CGTAATGCTAATGGCTAATGTTAGCGTAGACGCTCCAGTGTTGGAGTAAGTACTCACAAGCTAACTGTGTTTATTCAGTCAGAACAGAGCTGTACAGACTGCAGTACGTAATGCTAATGCTAATGTTAGCATAGACGGTCCAGTGTTGGAGTAAGTACTCAAAGCTAACTGTGTTTATTCAGTCAGAACAGAGCTGTGCAGACTGCAGTACGTAATGCTAATGCTAATGTTAGCGTAGACGCTCCAGTGTTGGAGTAATTACTCAAAGGTAACTGTGTTTATTCAGTCAGAACAGAGCTGTACAGACTGCAGTACGTAATGCTAATGCTAATGTTAGCGTAGACGCTCCAGTGTTGGAGTAAGTACTCAAAGCTAACTGTGTTTATTCAGTCAGAACAGAGCTGTACAGACTGCAGTACGTAATGCTAATGCTAATGTTAGCGTAGACGCTCCAGTGTTGGAGTAATTACTCAAAGCTAACTGTGTTTTTTCAGTCAGAACAGAGCTGTGCAGACTGCAGTACGTAATGCTAATGTTAGCGTAGACGCTCCAGTGTTGGAGTAATTACTCAAAGCTAACTGTGTTTATTCAGTCAGAACAGAGCTGTGCAGACTGCAGTACGTAATGCTAATGCTAATGTTAGCGTAGACGCTCCAGTGTTGGAGTAATTACTCAAAGGTAACTGTGTTTATTCAGTCAGAACAGAGCTGTACAGACTGCAGTACGTAATGCTAATGCTAATGTTAGCGTAGACGCTCCAGTGTTGGAGTAAGTACTCAAAGCTAACTGTGTTTTTTCAGTCAGAACAGAGCTGTGCAGACTGCAGTACGTAATGCTAATGCTAATGTTAGCGTAGACGGTCCAGTGTTGGAGTAATTACTCAAAGGTAACTGTGTTTATTCAGTCAGAACAGAGCTGTGCAGACTGCAGTACGTAATGCTAATGCTAATGTTAGCGTAGACGCTCCAGCGTTGGAGTAATTACTCAAAGGTAACTGTGTTTATTCAGTCAGAACAGAGCTGTACAGACTGCAGTACGTAATGCTAATGCTAATGTTAGCGTAGACGCTCCACTGTTGGAGTAAGTACTCAAAGCTAACTGTGTTTTTTCAGTCAGAACAGAGCTGTGCAGACTGCAGTACGTAATGCTAATGCTAATGTTAGCGTAGACGCTCCAGCGTTGGAGTAAGTACTCAAAGCTAACTGCGTTTTTTCAGTCAGAACAGAGCTGTGCAGACTGCAGTACGTAATGCTAATGTTAGCGTAGACGCTCCAGTGTTGGACTAAGTACTCAAAGCTAACTGTGTTTATTCAGTCAGAACAGAGCTGTACAGACTGCAGTACGTAATGCTAATGCTAATGTTAGCGTAGACGCTCCAGCGTTGGAGTAATTACTCAAAGCTAACTGTGTTTATTCAGTCAGAACAGAGCTGTACAGACTGCAGTACGTAATGCTAATGCTAATGTTAGCGTAGACGCTCCAGCGTTGGAGTAATTACTCAAAGCTAACTGTGTTTATTCAGTCAGAACAGAGCTGTGCAGACTGCAGTACGTAATGCTAATGCTAATGTTAGCGGAGACGCTCCAGTGTTGGAGTAATTACTCAAAGGTAACTGTGTTTATTCAGTCAGAACAGAGCTGTACAGACTGCAGTACGTAATGCTAATGCTAATGTTAGCGTAGACGCTCCAGCGTTGGAGTAAGTACTCAAAGCTAACTGTGTTTATTCAGTCCGAACAGAGCTGTACAGACTGCAGTACGTAATGCTTATGCTAATGTTAGCGTAGACGCTCCAGTGTTGGAGTAATTACTCAAAGCTAACTGTGTTTATTCAGTCAGAACAGAGCTGTACAGACCGCAGTACGTAATGCTAATGCTAATGTTAGCGTAGACTCTCCAGTGTTGGAGTAAGTACTCAAAGCTAACTGTGTTTTTTCAGTCAGAACAGAGCTGTACAGACTGCAGTACGTAATGCTAATGCTAATGTTAGCGTAGACGCTCCAGCGTTGGAGTAATTACTCAAAGTTAACTGCGTTTATTCAGTCAGAACAGAGCTGTACAGACTGCAGTACGTAATGCTAATGTTAGCGTAGACGCTCCAGTGTTGGAGTAATTACTCAAAGCTAACTGTGTTTATTCAGTCAGAACAGAGCTGTACAGACTGCAGTACGTAATGCTAATGCTAATGTTAGCGTAGACGCTCCAGCGTTGGAGTAATTACTCAAAGCTAACTGTGTTTATTCAGTCAGAACAGAGCTGTGCAGACTGCAGTACGTAATGCTAATGCTAATGTTAGCGTAGACGCTCCAGCGTTGGAGTAATTACTCAAAGCTAACTGCGTTTATTCAGTCAGAACAGAGCTGTACAGACTGCAGTACGTAATGCTAATGTTAGCGTAGACGCTCCAGCGTTGGAGTAATTACTCAAAGCTAACTGTGTTTATTCAGTCAGAACAGAGCTGTGCAGACTGCAGTAGGTAATGCTAATGCTAATGTTAGCGTAGACGCTCCAGTGTTGGAGTAATTACTCAAAGCTAACTGTGTTTATTCAGTCAGAACAGAGCTGTGCAGACTGCAGTACGTAATGCTAATGCTAATGTTAGCGTAGACGCTCCAGTGTTGGAGTAATTACTCAAAGCTAACTGTGTTTATTCAGTCAGAACAGAGCTGTACAGACTGCAGTACATAATGCTAATGTTAGCGTAGACGCTCCAGCGTTGGAGTAAGTACTCAAAGGTAACTGTGTTTATTCAGTCAGAACAGAGCTGTGCAGACTGCAGTACGTAATGCTAATGCTAATGTTAGCGCAGATGCTCCAGCGTTGGAGTAATTACTCAAACCTAACTGCGTTTATTCAGTCAGAACAGAGCTGTACAGACTGCAGTACGTAATGCTAATGTTAGCGTAGACGCTCCAGTGTTGGAGTAATTACTCAAAGCTAACTGTGTTTATTCAGTCCGAACAGAGCTGTACAGACTGCAGTACGTAATGCTAATGCTAATGTTAGCCTAGACGCTCCAGTGTTGGAGTAAGTACTCAAAGCTAACTGTGTTTATTCAGTCAGAACAGAGCTGTGCAGACTGCAGTACATAATGCTAATGCTAATGTTAGCGTAGACGCTCCAGTGTTGGAGTAATTACTCAAAGCTAACTGTGTTTATTCAGTCAGAACAGAGCTGTACAGACTGCAGTACGTAATGCTAATGCTAATGTTAGCGTAGACGCTCCAGTGTTGGAGTAATTACTCAAAGCTAACTGTGTTTATTCAGTCCGAACAGAGCTGTACAGACTGCAGTACGTAATGCTAATGCTAATGTTAGCGTAGATGCTCCAGTGTTGGACTAATTACTCAAAGGTAACTGTGTTTATTCAGTCAGAACAGAGCTGTACAGACTGCAGTACGTAATGCTAATGCTAATGTTAGCGTAGACGCTCCAGTGTTGGAGTAATTACTCAAAGCTAACTGCGTTTATTCAGTCAGAACAGAGCTGTACAGACTGCAGTACGTAATGCTAATGTTAGCGTAGACGCTCCAGCGTTGGAGTAAGTACTCAAAGGTAACTGTGTTTATTTAGTCAGAACAGAGCTGTACAGACTGCAGTACGTAATGCTAATGCTAATGTTAGCGCAGATGCTCCAGCGTTGGAGTAATTACTCAAACCTAACTGCGTTTATTCAGTCAGAACAGAGCTGTACAGACTGCAGTACGTAATGCTAATGTTAGCGTAGACGCTCCAGCGTTGGAGTAATTACTCAAAGCTAACTGTGTTTATTCAGTCAGAACAGAGCTGTACAGACTGCAGTACGTAATGCTAATGCTAATGTTAGCGTAGACGGTCCAGTGTTGGAGTAATTACTCAAAGCTAACTGTGTTTATTCAGTCAGAACAGAGCTGTACAGACTGCAGTACGTAATGCTAATGCTAATGTTAGCGTAGACGGTCCAGTGTTGGAGTAAGTACTCAAAGCTAACTGTGTTTATTCAGTCAGAACAGAGCTGTGCAGACTGCAGTACATAATGCTAATGCTAATGTTAGCGTAGACGCTCCAGTGTTGGAGTAATTACTCAAAGCTAACTGTGTTTATTCAGTCCGAACAGAGCTGTACAGACTGCAGTACGTAATGCTAATGTTAGCATAGACGCTCCAGCGTTGGAGTAATTACTCAAAGCTAACTGTGTTTATTCAGTCCGAACAGAGCTGTACAGACTGCAGTAGGTAATGCTAATGCTAATGTTAGCGTAGACGCTCCAGTGTTGGAGTAATTACTCAAAGCTAACTGTGTTTATTCAGTCAGAACAGAGCTGTGCAGACTGCAGTACGTAATGCTAATGCTAATGTTAGCGTAGACGCTCCAGCGTTGGAGTAATTACTCAAAGCTAACTGTGTTTATTCAGTCAGAACAGAGCTGTGCAGACTGCAGTAGGTAATGCTAATGTTAGCGTAGACGCTCCAGCGTTGGAGTAATTACTCAAAGCTAACTGTGTTTATTCAGTCAGAACAGAGCTGTGCAGACTGCAGTAGGTAATGCTAATGCTAATGTTAGCGTAGACGCTCCAGCGTTGGAGTAATTACTCAAAGCTAACTGTGTTTATTCAGTCAGAACAGAGCTGTGCAGACTGCAGTACGTAATGCTAATGCTAATGTCAGCGTAGACGGTCCAGTGTTGGAGTAAGTACTCAAAGCTAACTGTGTTTATTCAGTCAGAACAGAGCTGTACAGACTGCAGTACGTAATGCTAATGCTAATGTTAGCGTAGACGCTCCAGCGTTGGAGTTATTATGCAAAAACACTATGAAGCTACTGATTCCTTCTCTCTCACTGTAGTGATTGTTACTTATTGCTTCCTGTAATACTCATAATCACACTCATTACTTTACTTCTACATTACTCTGTACCTAAAGCATTGTATCTCATAACCAGCAACTTAATCTGTGTGTGTATTTCGTAGGTCGTTGTGTGGAAAGTGTAAAAACTCTCAGTCCATACATTTGAATAGGACACATTTTATTATGATTTGAATTTGATGAACATTATTTTCATGTCTGCAGTCCTGTGTTGCAGAAAGGTAAAAACAGGCTTTATATTTTTTCCACATTTTGGTCAGACAATAACTCTAGACTCCAAATGCCTCGTCTAGAATGTCCAGAAGGAAGACTCAACATCCAGGACGAGCTTCAGGCCTCTTCCTCATCTCTTACTAAGTTAAACATTCCTTCAGGAAATACGTCATCAGTGTGCTTTGGTATCTCACTTCACGACTTGAAAAAACATATTTACACATTTTTTATCTCAAACTGACCTCATGTAGCCAAGTTAGCCAAGTTAGCATGCTAAGTTAACAGTAATAAGGAATAAACATTCATTGTAGGCAGTTTTGAGTGAGTTGTAGGCTGTTTGGAGTGAGTAGTACGCTGTTTGGAGTGAGTTGTAGGCTGTTTGGAGTGTATTGTTCGCTATTTGGAGTGAGTTGTAGGCTGTTTGGAGTGCGTTGTAGGTTGTTTGGAGTGAGTTGTAGGCTGTTTGGAGTGCGTTGTCGGCTGTTTGGAGTGAGTTGTAGGCTGTTTGGAGTGCGTTGTCGGCTGTTTGGAGTGAGTTGTCAGCTGTTTGGAGTGATTTGTAGGCTGTTTGGAGTGCGTTGTCGGCTGTTTGGAGTGAGTTGTTGGATGTTTGGAGTACATTGTAGGCTGTTTGGAGTGAGTTGTTGGCTGTTTGGAGTACATTGTAGGCTGTTTGGAGTGAGTTGTAGGTTGTTTGGAGTGAGTTGTAGGCTGTTTGGAGTGAGTTGTCGCCTGTTTGGAGTGAGTTCTTGGCTGTTTGGAGTACATTGTAGGCTGTTTGGAGTGAGTTGTTGGCTGTTTGGAGTGAGTTCTTGGCTGTTTGGAGTACATTGTAGGCTGTTTGGAGTGAGTTGTAGGCGGTTTGGAGTGAGTTGAAGGCTGTTTGGAGTACATTGTAGGCTGCTTGGAGTGAGTTGTTGGCTGTTTGGAGTACATTGTAGGCTGTTTGGAGTGAGTTGTAGGCAGTTTTGAGTGAGTTGAAGGCTGTTTGGAGTACATTGTAGGCTGTTTGGAGTGAGTTCTTGGCTGTTTGGAGTACATTGTAGGCTGTTTGGAGTGAGTTGTAGGCAGTTTGGAGTGAGTTGAAGGCTGTTTGGAGTGAGTTGGTGGCTGTTTGGAGTACATTGTAGGCTGTTTGGAGTGAGTTGTAGGCAGTTTGGAGTGAGTTGAAGGCTGTTTGGAGTGAGTTGAAGGCTGTTTGGAGTGTATTGTTGGCTGTTTGGAGTGTATTGTCAGCTGTTTGGAGTGTGTTGTCGGCTGTTTGGAATACATTGTAGGCTGTTTGGAGTGAGTTGTAGGCAGTTTGGAGTGAGTTGAAGGCTGTTTGGAGTGAGTTGGTGGCTGTTTGGAGTACATTGTAGGCTGTTTGGAGTGAGTTGTAGGCAGTTTGGAGTGAGTTGAAGGCTGTTTGGAGTACATTGTAGGCTATTGTCGAATGTTTTTGGAGTGAGTTGAAGGCTGTTTGGAGTGAGTTGAAGGCTGTTTGGAGTGTATTGTTGGCTGTTTGGAGTGTATTGTCAGCTGTTTGGAGTGTGTTGTCGGCTGTTTGGAATACATTGTAGGTTGTTTGGAGTGAGTTGTCCGCTGTTTGGAGTGTATTGTTGGCTGTTTGGAGTGTATTGTTGGCTGTTTGGAGTGAGTTGTTGGCTGTTTGGAGTGAGTTGTCAGCTGTTTGGTGTGAGTTGTCAGCTGTTTGGAGTGAGTTGTCAGCTGTTTGGTGTGAGTTGTCAGTTGTTTGTAGTGAGTTGAAGACTGCTTGTAGTGAGTTGTCAGTTGTTTGTAGTGAGTTGAAGACTGGAGTGAGTTGTCAGCTGTTTGGAGTGAGTTGTCAGTTGTTTGTAGTCAGTGGTCGGCTGTTTGGTGTGAGTTGTCGGCTGTTTGGAGTGAGTTGTCGGCTGTTTGGAGTGAGTTGTTTGCTGTTTAGTGTGAGTTGTCAGCTGTTTGTAGTGAGTTGTCAGTTGTTTGTAGTGAGTTGAAGACTGTTTGGAGTGAGTTGTTGGCTGTTTGGAGTGAGTTGCCGGCTGTTTGGAGTGAGTTGTTGGCTGTTTAGTGTGAGTTGTTAGCTGTTTGGAGTGAGTTGTCAGTTGTTTGTAGTGAGTTGAAGACTGTTTGGAGTGAGTTGTTGGCTGTTTGGAGTGAGTTGTTGGCTGTTTGGAGTGAGTTGTCGGCTGTTTGGAGTGAGCTGTCGGCTGTTTGAAGTGAGTTGTTGGCTGTTTGGAGTGAGTTGTCGGCTGTTTGGAGTGAGTTGTAGGCTGTTTGGAGTGAGTTGTTGGCTGTTTAGTGTGAGTTGTCAGCTGTTTGGAGTGAGTTGTTGGCTGTTTGGAGTGAGTTGTTGGCTGTTTAGTGTGAGTTGTCAGCTGTTTGGAGTGAGTTGTCAGTTGTTTGTAGTGAGTTGAAGACTGTTTGGAGTGAGCTGTCGGCTGTTTGAAGTGAGTTGTCGGCTGTTTGGAGTGAGTTGTCAGTTGTTTGTAGTGAGGTGAAGACTGTTTGGAGTGAGCTGTCGGCTGTTTGAAGTGAGTTGTCGGCTGTTTGGAGTGAGTTGTCAGTTGTTTGTAGTGAGTTGAAGACTGTTTGGAGTGAGCTGTCAGTTGTTTGTAGTGAGTTGAAGACTGTTTGGAGTGAGCTGTCGGCTGTTTGGAGTGAGTTGTCGGCTGTTTGGAGTGAGTTGTCAGTTGTTTGTAGTGAGTTGAAGACTGTTTGGAGTGAGCTGTCGGCTGTTTGAAGTGAGTTGTCGGCTGTTTGGAGTGAGTTGTCAGTTGTTTGTAGTGAGGTGAAGACTGTTTGGAGTGAGCTGTCGGCTGTTTGAAGTGAGTTGTCGGCTGTTTGGAGTGAGTTGTCAGTTGTTTGTAGTGAGTTGAAGACTGTTTGGAGTGAGCTGTCGGCTGTTTGGAGTGAGTTGTCGGCTGTTTGAAGTGAGCTGTCGGCTGTTTGAAGTGAGTTGTCGGCTGTTTAGTTGAAGGCTATACAGTTAATCTTTAGAAGAATCCGACCATCTCCTACTCCTGTGAACGAGCCCTGGCGCCCCCTGCAGGCGGGGAGGAAACCTGCGCCATGCAGGGTTGTGAAAAGGCCATCTTTGTGGTCTGTGAAATGGTCCTCTGTGGGGGGGCCATGGCAGGATCCTTGGTGGTCCTGGAGCAAAACCATTTGCGAGGTGGTTTATGAGCCACAGTTGGTAGAAGGTCAGCACGGGGTTAGGCCTATTTTGAATGACCGGTGGTTTCACTGTGGTGGTCTGGTTGGTCTGGACAGGCACTGTGGTGGTCATGTTGGTCTGGACGGGCAGTGTGGTGGTCGTATTGGTCTGGACGGGTGCTGTGGTGGTCATGTTGGTCTGGGTGGGCAGCGTGGTGGTCATGTTGGTCTGGACGGGCAGTGTGGTGGTCATGTTGGTCTGGACTGGCAGGGTGGTGGTCATGTTGGTCTGGACGGGCAGTGCGGTGGTCGTGTTGGTCTGGACGGGTCCTGTTGTATTTGGCTCATCGAGACGTTGGTTTCCTGCTGTGAAGATCTCACAGGGCGGAGTCACGGGGCTTCCGTCAATGGTGCCCGGCACAAATCCGGTTAGCCAGACGTCAGAGTCTGTCTGACCTTCATAGTCGGGTACTGAGGGTTAAAGAGAAGATATCAGACACACACACACACATACAGTGTTCATCAGGGCGGTTTCTAACACTGATTCAACTCGTCAGATACAGAAACTCTCGGAACTTATTCCTGTCCAATCACTGTATTATTAAATATTGAATTACATTCTGGGTCGACAGATTTGAGTCTGCATCTCTGTCAAAATAACTTTTTATCAAAATCAAATCGTAATAAAATGTTTCCTAGTTAGGAACAGAAGTGTGGTGTGGACTGAAAGTTTCAGATCTGTGCTCTTCTGCATGTTCCTCACTCGCTGCCTCTGCTGCTCCGAGTTGGTGATGTTTTCCTGCTTTCCAGCTGAACTGAACATGCTAGCCTGACTCACAATGAACGAACAGTACAGTAGCCACTAATAACAGCTCAACTGAGCGCAGCACAGCAAACAGGACGAAAACAGCGAAAAACAATCACACTGACCTTTTTTAAATGTCGACTTACTATCTCAAATAATTCCTTATTTTAACAGAATATGGTATTAATATCTCAATATGGCTAATTTTCTCAAAATATGCACTTAGATTACTGAATTTTTTTCTTGAAGTATTGACTGGCATTGACTCATTATCTGGACTTGTATTGTTGTATTATCTTGAAATTATTGGCATTTTGTCCTCCAAAACATTGAGCATTTTAAAATAATTTGTTTTCTCAAAAAGTAGATTAAAATATTGACCTATTTTGCCCAAAAAATTGACTGTCATAATAGATTTATATCAAAATAGGAAAGAACATTTTGATAATTATTTCAAGACAGTAAGTCAATATTTAGAGAAAATAAGTCATTATTTAGAGGTAATAAGTTATTATTTTGAGAGACTGAGTCATTATTTTGAGAGACTGAGTCATTATTTAGAGATAATAAGTCATTATTTTGAGAGACTGAGTCATTATTTTGAGATAATAATTCATTATTTAGAGGTAATAAGTCATTATTTTGAGAGACTGAGTCATTATTTTGAGATAATAATTCATTATTTAGAGGTAATAAGTCATTATTTTGAGAGACTGAGTCATTATTTTGAGAGACAGCCATTATTTTGAGATAATAAGTCATTATTTAGAGGTAATAAGTGATTATTTTGAGAGACTGAGTCATTATTTAGAGGTAATAAGTCATTATTTTGAGAGACTAAGTCATTATTTAGAGGTAATAAGTCATTATTTTGAGAGACTGAGTCATTATTTTGAGAGACTGAGTCATTATTTTGAGATAATAAGTCATTATTTAGAGGTAATAAGTGATTATTTTGAGAGACTGAGTCATTATTTTGAGAGACAGCCATTATTTTGAGATAATAAGTCATTATTTAGAGGTAATAAGTGATTATTTTGAGAGACTGAGTCATTATTTTGAGAGACTGAGTCATTATTTTGAGATAATAAGTCGTTATTTAGAGGTAATAAGTCATTATTTTGAGTTCCTGCTGTCGAGGAGGAGAACGGGCTCCTATATCTGGAAGAAATGGGCTTCAACAGGTGTGTTAGAGCAGTGTGTGTGTGTGTGTGTGTGTGTGTGTGTGTGAGTGTGTGTGTGTGTGTGTGTGTGTGTGTGTGTGTGTGAGTGTGTGTGTGTGTGTGTGTGAAAGAGCTCACCTGCAGGTGTGGACGGCTGAGCGGCCGGACAGCAGAGGACACACAGCAGCACACAGACTCTCATCAGAGTCATGATGATCCACGATCACAGAGACGATGTGAGCAAACACCCAACACACACTGCTTATATACTCTACAGGGTGAGTGTGTGTGTGTGTGTGTGTGTGTGTCTGCATCTGCATGTGTGTGTTTGTGTGTGTGTGTGTGTGTGTTTGTATGTGTGTGTGTGTGTGTATGTGGGTGTGTGTATGCGTGTGTGGGTGTGTGTGGGTGTGTGTGTGTGTGTGTGTGTGTGTGTGTGTGTGTGTGTGCATGTGTGTGAGTGTGTGTGTGAGTGTGTGTGAGTGTGTGTGCATGTGTGTGTGTGTGTGAGTGTGTGTGTGTGTCTGTGTGTGGGTGTGTGTGTGTGTGTGTGTGTGTGTTCCGTTCCACCTTATATGTCAGAATGGAACGGATAAACTTAGGCACTGGAATGTAACTGCCGCACCATTTAAGGTGGAACGGATCATTTGAATAAGAAACCTTAGGCACTGGAATGTAACTGCCGCACCATTTAAGGTGGAGTGGAAAAGTTGATTAGGAAGCCGGCAAATAAGAAGCCAATTGTGCAAGTGCGCATATGCATCACTGGGACTTTCCTCACAGACAGACAGACAGACAGACGTGTCAAACAGGGCTTTATGAGTCTACAGTTAAAGCTCATTAGGCAATGCGTGGGATTAATCCTGAGAGGGGGATTATTAAGGTCCGCTGGGTGTGAATAATGCAGCTGTACTGTAACTGCGGGTGTTAACAGAGCAGAGCGGAGCTTCGTAACACACTCAGCCTGTGACTGTGGAGTTACGCTCAGCCACTGTGGCAGTGAGTTCAGAGGGTCTGTGTAAACTGATGTAGATTTACAGCAGAAAGCAGTGTTGGACAGTAACGACGTAAATGTAATTCATTTCTGTACTTAAGTACTTTATTGTGTATCTGTACTTTACTGAAGTTTTTCCATTTTGGTGACTTTTTACTTTCACTCCACTACATTTCAAAGTCACATATCTCACTTTTTACTCCACTACATTATGAGAAATCTGTCGTTCCTTTTGGTTTATGTGTGTATAAAAACGTGACATGTCAAAACGAGAGAAGCGCGAAGCAAAAACACCAATCAGGGCACAGCGGTCACTTAGTTTTGAGCTTGTTTTGACCTGTTGGTCATACCGACCCAGTGCAGCACACAGAACTAACCTAACTTTGTG